TTGGTACTTCACTTGTACTTAAGTACTTTCTAAAGTACTTATATAACTGTATTTAAGTACTGTTACAAAAAATAATATGTACTTGTACTTGTACTTAAGTACCACTGCAATGTACTTCGCCCCATCCCTGGTATGTGATATATCTATCCTCAACTCAACAAGGAAATTGTTAGTAATTGATTCATTGACAGTATGTATAGTCAGTAGTGGGAGTATACTAATAGAACAATATCAATGAGTAAATATCTTTACATAAAAGGACTTGTAATGAGTACAAATTTCCACTTGATTAGATTCATTCCTTATTAGTCTCACATAGCCAGCCCCTCCCTCTACAAAGCAAGGGTCTGGTCTATTACCATACATTACCTCATTCATCTTCAAACCTTACTTCTGGTGGAACTAAGTACACTAAACATTGAATAACCTCTTGTGTATATTATGAAGACTGAAACCTCCTTTTTGGGCCAGGATTAATTATACATGTACTAAGCATAATTGAATTTCCTGGAATTTAATTATTTACAAATTGTGTTAGATGATGCATGAAATCCACTAAATTAGGAATACCAGTAAACACTAGTCCAGTGTATCGTAGATAGTATAATGTGTTATCATAACAATGTCAGTGATGGGACCCTCATCTAGTAGTGTAGTAGTTTGTATCTCTTCCACTGGGTATTTATGTAATATTGTCACTAGGTGTTCCTCCTCCTACTACCCTAGTCCTAGTCCTACTTATGTGTCCAGTCATAGATACTCAATGATTCAATGTATACTAATACACCAGACACACTCTTTGTAGAGGGAGGGACACTCTCTTTCCTTATAAGGATATACATGTACATGTACTGTATTGCAGGATTTATTGGTGAGGGATTAAATTTGTCAAGTCCTTAAATTACAAGAATACTCCAAATTGAAACTCACAAATTATTGTCAATTATTAGCTGACATGTGTTAGGAGTTAATGAAGTTACCAAAATTTAATTGGCCAACCTATCAATTTAGACAATTTCTCCAAAATTCCTCAGCGTCAATAAATACTCTCATATGTTATACAAGTACATGTAAATGAATGGCTCAGTTGTTTGTGTATTTTTCCATTAAAAGTTGTTTTAATATGTACATGTATTGTTTATGTGTTGTTTATGGTCGGTTATTGTCACTGGTTACATATTCTGTGAATTTTGTGTTTGAATGAGATTATGTGATAATGAGACATAGGAGTGATTAATATTACTATTATAATAACTGTTAATAATACACTCATTCACTTGTTAATACTGTAGGACCAACAGTTATGGGATGCTGCTGAGGCAGGAAATATTCAAAGAATGAGGACTCCCCTCTCTGATGGGGCAGATATCAACTGCATGATAGGCCTAGTAAGTGTATAATGTAGTGACTAGTGTATTAGTATGACTTGTATAATGTAAAAGTACCTGCAGTTTAGTTATAAATCAGTTTATTATATTAATATTGTGTAATTACCATATTTCCTCATGGAAGCACCTAGGCATTTATTCTTATAGAGACCCGTTTGCTGGGTGTTTAAATGAAGTAGGTGTTTATATGAGGATAGACATTTAAATTCATTGCTGAGGAGTCTTCTTCTATGAGCTTCCTTCTCAGCTACAACTGCTATGTTGCCTATAGTGTGTGCCAGTAACCACGTGGGCAAAGTGGGTGTGGCATAGACATCTAAACAAGCATGGGCATTTATTGTCAATGTTTTATGCTATCTCTAGGCGTTTATGCAGGTACGGGCATTTATTGGGAGTAGGTGTTTCCATGAGGAAATACAGTATGTTCCTCAAACACAGTATCCTATTGATGACACTCATAGTCCCTTCTTTCTGGTGGTGTGTGTTTATTGAAGGATCAGTCCTTATTTTCTTTATTGCATTTTATGAGGAAACAATGTACATTTCTATTGTGAAGGATACCCAGGAAAAAAATCTTACTAAGATCTTGAATAATCTGATCAGATGAGCTAAGGTGCGGTAAGGTGAGATAAGAAGTAAGAATAATCTTATAAGATCTTATATGGATTTAGTCTGATCAATCTTAGCTATCATATACAGGCATAGTCTTACTTAAGATCTTACAAGAATTATCTTATAATATCACTGATCAGATTTAAAGGCTGGATCTTACTTAAGATCTTACAAGATTTATCTTTACAGGCCGGATCTTACTTAAGATCTTACATGAATTATCTTACAATATCATTGATAAGATTTAAAGGCCGGATCTTACTTAAGATCTTACATGAATTATCATTTATAAGATTGAATGGCCGGATCTTACTTAAGATCTTACATGAAGTATTTTACAATATCACTGATAAGATTTAAAGGCCGGATCTTACTTAAGATCTTACAGGAATTATCATTTATAAGATTGAAGGGCCGGATCTTACTTAAGATCTTACATGAAGTATCTTACAATATCACTGATAAGATTTAAAGGCCGGATCTTACTTAAGATCTTACATGAATTATCTTACAATATCACTGATAAGTTTTAAAGGCCAGATCTTACTTAAGATCTTACATGAATTATCTTACAATATCACTGATAAGATTTAAAGGCCGGATCTTACTTAAGATCTTACATGCATTATCTTACAATATCACTGATAAGATTTAAAGGCCGGATCTTACTTAAGATCTTACATGCATTATCTTACAATATCACTAATAAGATTTAAAGGCCAGATCTTACTTAAGATCTTGCATGAATTATCTTACAATATCACTGATAAGATTTAAAGGCCGGATCTTACTTAAGATCTTACATGCATTATCTTACAATATCACTAATAAGATTTAAAGGCCAGATCTTACTTAAGATCTTACATGAATTATCTTACAATATCACTGATAAGATTTAAAGGCCGGATCTTACTTAAGATCTTACATGAATTATCTTACAATATCACTGATAAGTTTTGAAGGCCGGATCTTACTTAAGATCTTACATGAATTATCTTACAATATCACTGATAAGATTTAAAAGCTGGATCTTACTTAAGATGTTACATGAATTATCTTACATTAAAAGCACATCCAAGATCTTACATATGTTCTTACATGTTAAATCTTAACATAATTTGTTGCAGGATAACCAGACAAGATCTGACACATGATCTTACATGCATAATCTTACACAAATGTCATTGGAAGCACAGGCTAGATTTTATATATAATGTTACATGTTATATCTTAACATAATTTGTTGCAGGATAACCAGGCAAGATCTGACACTTGAGTTTGCATGCCCAATCTTACAAAATTAGGGGTATGATCTTATATGCAGTACATATGTATTAGAAAACACAGAAAAACAGTTATACATGACTTTATATGCATAAATTAATTGTTAATATTGTAAAGTAATGTATTATTAGTGAACTTCAAATGAGTTTGGTAAAAGGACACAATAAACAGTTTTCTGGCGAGAATTTTTAACTTAAATTTCAATGTACTTATTGAGAATTTTTTGAATACTAATCGCTGTAATTTCATCAGTCGGCTTCACTTCCAGAAACTGCTTTTGAAGTAGAGAATTTATGTCAAGTTGGCGAATTAGAGTATTTCGGGGTGGTCTTAAATTTGAAAGAGGAGTCTTATTCATTATATGATAATTTTTGATAAAACAGAAATGAGTGCATGTATCATCTTGCTTTGAAAGAAAAAAAGATTGTATTTTACCAATTTTTACTAATTCATCCTTATCTAGGTATGAACAAATCGAATTATTGCTTAACTTGCTGATGCCACCACTTTCGCTGATGTATATTGTGTTTCTTAGCATTAACTGCTTAAAACAATGTACTTCTTGACTAGTACTGATGTTATGGTGCCTTGCAACTGACATTTCATCTTCTGTTAGTGAATAAGTACTAATTTTACCTACGACATAGCATCCTTCAAATAACTCATGTAATACTGATTTGTTTTTGCATAAGAGTTGCCTAATGTATTCCTTTGTGGACTCATTCTCTGACGCACTTAAACTAAGCAACTTCTTAGGTACCGTTTGAAGCAACTGAATCTGGAAGCTCATTTGGAACACAATTCTCCGTGTTCCATGAAATGTGGTCCCAAGATACCCATTTAGGTTTTCGAACCCAAACATTGAGTATCCCCAAAGTGGTCCCCATAACTGAACAAATGGTACTGTGTGTATTAAGGAGTGCATGTTGGCTGTGTACATATTTGGCGAATACAGTTCACCAGATAATTGGTAAAAAGTGGCCAACATTTGATGAACAAAATGTAAATCTTGTATTTTGATTTCATCAGACAACAAAATATGGAAAGAAGTAACCAATAAAGAAAGATGGTGAATATATTCTGGCGGCAGAAATATGGACAAAATAGGCAAGGAATAAAAGAGAAGCCAAGCCCGGAATTCAGAAGCTTTAAAAAAGGAAAAAGAATCAAGAGATCTTGGAAGGCGTTGGATTTCATTAATTGGTTTTATGTTTAACAATAATGCCTCAATATTACGAATACTTTTACGTAAACTATATGGCTGTGAATGATATTTTGGGTCAAACCAATGCCTCATTAATTGCTTAAATACTCCTTCCAATGTTGAGTGCATGTAGTCAATAGGAATACATGATGGAATCTCTAAGTAATCACCCAAAATGCAAGGACCCTTTACTCCAACTTGAGGCTGGCCAGTAGATTCTGCTAAAGATGCCAAATGCTTCATTCTTTCACTATCTCTAAGTTGCATATCTGGGTTTGGGCGATATATTCTTGCTCTATTACAAACTTCACCCTTTTCTTCACAATATAAACATCCGTATTCCCCATTAAATTGCTTGGTGTTTGTCACACTAGATTTAGCAGGTAGGTCAAATATGGCCATTAGCAATTTAGCTCGTATTACGACATTTGGTGAATAGGAGATTCCATTATTTTCAAGATGTGAAATGCTGGCAAGAACATGCTGAAGAATGAGATCCATACTTGGCTTAGTAGGCCCATGCCATAACGCTGCTATTATTAAGTTATCTACCTTCATTCTCTTTTGTGGTGGTATACTTGTCACCATTAGGTACACTGGCCACAAACTACCCTTTGATGATTTGTATACAGGTACGCCATCAGAACATAAAGCAAGACCTGTATTTTCCGGACATGACAAAAATCCCCCTTCAGACATGAGATTTCGAATTGAACTTCCATCATGAACATCCCTCATAGTAGCATCATCATTCTTTCGAATAAATGGGTAGATAAATTTGTCGTGCTCTTCTAAAGGAAAAATTAAACATTAATTATAGTTTAAAACATTTATGACTGTATATGCTCTATACCATATAACTGCTTTAATCGTTCTTCAATTGGAAAAAGTGCTAAGTCACATACTCTAGCTTTTTGTTTAATGCATTGCCTATTTGAGCAAGTTTTGTCGGCTTGTTCCAAGTTTTTCATACACACGGAGCAAAATTTCAGCAGTATTTGCTTGTTTAAAGACTCAAAATATTTCTTAAACTCATAAAAACTTTTAGGACAATAATTTTGTTCAGTAGGACAGTGAGCCTATATAAAAAATGAAAATTAGTTTGTTTTTGATTTATTGCTATACCCACTTTAATCAATGTAATAAGGTCTTTGATAGCTTTGTATGACAACCGATTTTTCACAGCAAAATACATCATTGAATACCAACTAGCATTGGTGGATATAGAACTTCCATCATAAAGTAAAGAAACATCTATGCATTTAAGATCAATTTGTATTTTTCAACATAAGTTTACCTTCTTTGTCAATCTCAGTATTATCACCACACTCATCATCTCTGTCACTATCACTTTCAATGTAATCATCTTCAATGTAATCATCTTCAATGCTCAAGACGTCACTGATATGATGTGGAATTGAATCATCAAGAACCTCGTCATCTTCTTCGAGATCTCTAATTTCTTCACAAGTGCTACCATTATCAGTGGCTCTAACCTCAATCTCATTGTTTATACCATACTCATCATTCTCTACTTCACTGTTACCTGTGAACCATAGTGGCAACTTTATAAAGGGAGAAACTTTTGACTATAATACCTTCATTTTCATCACTGCTATATTTGCTGCCACTACTAGCAACTTCGTCATCAACTTCTTTATAGTCTGATCCATTCACAACTTCATCAGGAGAGCAACCTTCAGTACTACAGCTATCAGGTATATCAACTACATCTCTATTACATTCAGGTAAATTTTCCTTATCACATTTTTGCCCATCTATTTCAGTAAAATCTTAATTTTACACATTTTATATGATAATATTACCTTTTCTTTTCCAATACCACAATGTTTGACGGGGAATATGTTTACTACTGCATTGAAGATATCCCCTCCTTTTGGAACCACTGGAAGAAGTCTCCGAGAACTCATCATCTTGGCTGTTACTCATTTTTTGTCGTTTTTTATATCTCCAGCAACTAGTCTTTGGCATTGAAATAGTACTGTCAGTGAGATAAGACTTGTATTTCCTTTTCCCAATCATAGCTTGTTTCAATATACAGGTATAATAATTGCTATACCTTCTACTTGTAAAACACGCACGCAAGTACAATAACCTCACCCACGTAATTGATCGCGCATGCGCGAGTGAGGTGCGAAAAACGTGCAGTTGATGTGCTTCTGCTTTAGCCCGCTCTTTCTCCTTTTCTTTATCTCTGCTTCATAAAGCATAACTTCAGCTCATAAAGACAAGACAGATGATGAGGTGAGCTAATTGTTGTTTTATCAAGACTTATTTCATTTAAGACCACAGTAAATCTAGTAAGAGGCAAAGGAAACCATCAGAGAAGGTGAAAGTAAGCGGGGATGATGGAGTCGAACAGCAGCTACCCGCACAAACTAGTACGTATCATAATTATAACCAATTATAAAACCTAAATTCTACATATTATATATAGTGTTACCTCATATAAGTTATTTAATTAGCTGTACCAGTGTTTTGCACCACCTATCATAATCTTGCTTTAGAAGTCTATTATGCCCTATACACATAAGGCGTGCTATTGGATTCGATCAGATCAAAATAGTCCAGTTTGCCTGAATATTGTTACAATAATTATATTTCACTGACCCAATTAACTGCACTGAGTTAATTCATTTTACTTTCAAAATTAAACTATCTATTTTAAGCTTAAACGACCTCTAATGCCATTCTATTGTATGTAGGCTATAGCAAGAACACAAAAATTAGCTCACACGAATGTTAATTTTTGAGCACATTTCATTGAAAACACAAAATTTTAAACACTTGAAGATTTGAACGTATACAGTAAAATGCTTAATTTTAATTGGTAGTGTGGTGCACAGTAAAGTTAGAGAACAAAGATGGTTCAGAAAAGGAACATTTAGTTTGTAGCAAGTATCTAGAAAATGAAGATGGAAGTCAAGTGACACTTAAAGATTTGTATTCTTTCAATAATGTTATTTGGGTGCACAGAAAAGTTCCGTATGAAGTTACCATCATGGAAACTCATGGTACTTAGTAATTTAATATCATAATAGTAATTATCATTGTATTAGTTAAAAAGCCAACAAAGCGTCGCATTGTTGATGAATTGTCTCATTCTGATAGCTCATCTGATGAGAGTGAGGAAATACCCGAAAGACCACTAAAAAGTAATTTCCTGTCTTGAAATTATAGTTTTATTTTGTTACGCTGCCACTTTTGCCAATCTGTCTTAACTTTTAATGTTATACTATGGATCTCAAATTTTAGTTTTATTATTGACCCTAAAATAAATTCTATTATACAAGAATATTTTCATGTATTATATGCATATATTGTTATTACTCTTCTTTGTAGAACAAAAAAGTGATGAAAAAATTACTGAATATATTCCTTCTGATAATGAGGTTTTGTTACAGTGCAATATTATATACTTATGTGCATGTATAGGTAGAAACTGTTTCTCAAGACTCTGCTGGCTCACTTGATGTACAAGATTCAGTTACTACAGTAAGGGAAATGAATCTTTCAATATTATTATTAAAACGAATAATTTGATTTTAGCCGGTAGCATCTCATTTAACACAAGATTCAACTTCTTCTCCAATGGTAATTTCAAATTTATATTATTTTAATAAGGACCTTCATTAATAGATTAATGGTTTTAAAGTTCCATTTGCAACTCCTACTCATTCAACTAATGCAACTCCTAATGGGTCGGGTAAAGTAACTCCTATTCTGAATCAGTCAACTGTGACAACTCCTAAAGCTGGCAGTCAACGTAAATATGATCGTGATGAAGATGTAAAAGTATGTATTTACATGTATATACTCATAAATTCATTTTAAGAATTTAAAGGATCGCTTAACTAGAATTGAAAAAAAGTTGGATAAATTGATAACGAGTGTGAGCACATCAACTGTAAGTTTAAATTTGTTCTTTTATAAAATACATGTGTGCTTAATAGGGCAGGATTGTTACTGACAACAATGATGAGGCCTCCTCAACAGACGCTACAAATAAAAAATACATTACGGTATGTATGAGACCTAGCTTTTAATTGATGAATGATCTTATAGATACCACAAAATAATTATGATAATATTATTTTCATATTTTAGGACAGTGGTGTTAATTTACTCACTGTAAGAGCAGAGACACCATCTAAATATGCATTGTCATTAATGGACATATTCTTTACGGAGATGGAAATGGCCAATTCCTGTTACTGCCCTTCAAAGAGAACAAAAAAACCTCCACTCAATTCTGATAAAGTAGCATTTCTAGAAGGTATATACATGTATATTATCTTTATATCTTGTCAAATTATTTTTTATTGATGTGCATAGAGTGTATCCGGAAAAAGTTTTCCATTGATATTAAGGAGTTCGAAGAGAAATATGGATCAGTCATTAGGAGGAAATGTATGCAAAAATGTTTGGACAAAAACAGAACTATTAATGGCATTAAAAAAGAATAACTGACTGGTGACTATTATAATATGAACAATTTGACTGTAATGTGAGTTTTATTGTTGTTAATTAATTAGTAAAGACAATAAAGTTTTATTGTAATAATTATTGGTGATGTTGTAGTTAATCTAATGAGTCAGCTTATATATACACTGTGTTTATTACTTGATTATGGCTGATCTTGTCAGAACATGCATGGATTATTACCTGATCTTGTCAGAACATGCTTACATTATTACCTGATCTTGTCAGAACATGCTTACATTATTACCTGATCTTGTCAGAACATGCATAGATTATTACCTGATCTTGTCAGAACATGCATGGATTATTACCTGATCTTGTCAGAACATGCTTATATTATTACCTGATCTTGTCAGAACATGCATGGATTATTACCTGATCTTGTCAGAACATGCATGGATTATTACCTGATCTTGTCAGAACATGCTTATATTATTACCTGATCTTGTCAGAACATGCATGGATTATTACCTGATCTTGTCAGAACATGCATGGATTATTACCTGATCTTGTCAGAACATGCATGGATTATTACCTGATCTTGTCAGAACATGCAAAGATTATTACCTGATCTTGTCAGAACATGCATGGATTATTACCTGATCTTGTCAGAACATGCTTACATTATTACCTGATCTTGTCAGAACATGCATGGATTATTACCTGATCTTGTCAGAACATGCATGGATTATTACCTGATCTTGTCAGAACATGCTTATATTATCACCTGATCTTGTCAGAACATGCATGGATTATTACCTGATCTTGTCAGAACATGCATGGATTATTACCTGATCTTGTCAGAACATGCATGGATTATTACCTGATCTTGTCAGAACATGCATGGATTATTACCTGATCTTGTCAGAACATGCTTATATTATTACCTGATCTTGTCAGAACATGCATAGATTATTACCTGATCTTGTCAGAACATGCAAAGATTATTACCTGATCTTGTCAGAACATGCATGGATTATTACCTGATCTTGTCAGAACATGCAAAGATTATTACCTGATCTTGTCAGAACATGCTTACATTATTACCTGATCTTGGCTGATCTTGTCAGGTTTAGTGCCTGATATGACAAGATCAGATAAGATTATCAGAATGATGTGAATGATCTAGTTGTGGATCTTATAAAGATTGTGCCTGATCTTGCATGATTACTTGTAAGATTGCTTACAAGATCTTAGCAAGAATTTGGAACTTCTTGTCTAATAATCTGGCAAGAACAGGCATGACTAAGCATGCAAGATCTTAATATGTTTCGGTAAGATCTTAAGTAAGATCTTACGTAAGATTTTTTTCCTGGGTACACTGAACTGGAGATGGAGAGCAAAGGGATATCCAGTCACTGTACCAGTTCACATTCCCAGTGCCTCCTAAACCAAATACATGTAATAATACATGTAGTAATACATGTAGTACTCCTAATACATGTAGTACATAGTTGACTGTATTATGTGAATGTGTTTGTTTGCTATAATGTATTAAGTATGTACAGAGAGTAAATTTGAAGTAAAATTAGTATAATTAATTTTATACACAATCTCTAAGTAGGCATGTACACATGACTTTACATGTACACATGACTTTACATGTACATGTTCATGAATATAATTTCATGTATACTGACTGTCACAATACTCACAAATATTACCTTCATCATGTTGTCCCTTTTCTTGTCTCAGTGCAGGTATCATAATAGGATCATCATTAACAGTCTCCAAGAAAAGAGAGGCTTTCTCATCATTACTAGATGATGAATCATTCTTTATCTTCTTTAGAATAGGAAGGGAAAATTCTTCCACTGACAGTATAAACTCTAACAATTGAAGTGACTCCAACATTGAGTAAACACAACTACTAGGAATGTATCCCACATCACCAGACACTAAGGATCTTCCTTTCCACCAAAAAATATTCTCCTTCTCAAATATCTCCAGCTGCTCTCCCTCACTGAATGATATGTCATTACTCTCCATTGCATGATAGTCATAACGAGCAATAAAAACAGATTCTGCTGTTGGTTTATTCACTATATAGAAGCGATACAATATATCAATCAGTTAATGAAATAATGATATATACTTTTATCATCTTTATTTCTGAATTCAACAGTTTCAGTTTCTTTTGCAGCTGATGAAATCAATGTAAGTTGTTCCCTCCACTCTGATTAATAAATAGTAATTATCATTAAAAGGGTATCTTTACCCACACCTAATCTTTTTATTTTATGGTTTTCTTATTATTATGGTCAGGTAATCATACTTAACA